GTGCGAAATGTTTGGTTACCAACTAATTTCAAATAATTATTTGCACGTAAATATAATAATAATGTAGTGACGTGAAGATGCTGCTTATCAAGCTTCCAATTTTACCACAGTGAAAACCGGTAAGCATATATATAACTAATTATTGTTCTAGGCCTTGGATTACGGTGAACCACCGCTAAATTCCACAGTAAAGGTCACCATAGAAGTGAAGGACGTAAATGACGAACGACCACGATTTTCAACTGACCTTTATCTCGCCGACGTTATCGAAAACAAAGATCCTGGATTAAAGGTGAGAACCGAAATCATCTTTAAAGTTTTTGAAAGTTGAAACATAGCACTAAAGGTGAATTTGAAAAAATCGAGATCTTACATTCAAATATTGCACTGATTTCATATAGGTTACAAGAGTGTCTGCGTTTGATGGCGATCTGGGAGAAAATGGTCTGGTGTTTTATCAACTCGGTGAAGGTCACAAGAATCGATTTTATATCGACAGTAAAGGTAAATAAATTCTCAACAGTAGATCGTTTAAGAATAATTACAGCTTGAAAATGTATATACGATATTTCAGTACGTCAGTAATGGTAATAATTCTGTCCTGCCTTTTCCGCGGTTCTGACGCCAATCAGTTGAGATGAAACCTTAAATAAGCTTGTGAATTTAGATGGAATCTAAAGTTTGGCAAAGAACATCGAACGCTCAAGTATGATAATTTCTAAATGACGCTGGGAGATTAAACTTTAACTAAAACACTAGAAACTGGAAAACAAAATGGTACATAACAACGAATCTAATAAATTTGGATGTGGGCATTGTTATACGCTGGTAGGTTTGAGTTTCTTAATCATCTATTTTTGGGCACCGTAGTTTGTTGACAAGTATGCACTGATGTTTTCTTAATGAAATACGACAGGTTGAATGAAGTAAACACTGAACTGCACATTTTGATAAAATTCTGTCGAACTGATTACAATTTGTTCTCCATAAATCTTAACTGAAACCAAAACCTTAAAACAAGCAATGTGCTCATTGTAGTGTTGTAAATATAATATTTCAACACTAGACTTACCGATAGATTTTTAACAAGTTTTTCTAGACTACCTGTGCTCCAAACTGCTTATTGTTTCTTGACTTTGTTGGTTACAAAGTCCCGAATAACATTGAGCCAAACGTATGCTCCAAACTGCTTATTGGTTCTTGACTTTGTTGGTTACAAAGTCCCGAATAACATTGAGCCAAACCTGTGCTACAAACTGCTTATTGGTTCTTGACTTTGTTGGTTACAAAGCCCCGAATAACAATAAGCCATGAAAAACAATTAAATACAGAATGGCATTATTATTGCAACTAATATTACTTATTACTGTTGGGACTCTACTCCCTGTAAATATCAAATGAGTGGTTTCACCAGCCTTTACACGTGAGTGTTTTGTTGTAACAGGCGAAACATAAAATTACTCAATACGATGAGTATGTGGTCCCAAGGGCTATTGAAAGGGTCAAAAGGTAATTTGAATGTTAAGAAATAAAAGTAATCATAGATTCGTTTGAGCAGCTTGTATGTTCTTGGTTCTCGTGTATGTCTTTTAGACGTTCTTGTGAACATATATTAAGATTTAACCAATAGTGGCAATAAAGACGTCTTGTTAAATACTTTTGTGAGATGACAATGAATCCCGCCATTTTGTTAAGTGTAACCGTGTAGGTTGCTGATGCCCTTTGACCGTTAGGCCCACGTGTGACTAAGGAGGCATTCAGGTTTAAAATTCCTGTATGGACTAATGCTGGCGTATTTCTATTTATAGTTGTTTTTAATCTATGTAAAACATTTTAGACGTTTCAATATGGCTGCTACTACACAAATTATGTTTGCAGACGGAACAGTTTGGACCCTCTCAAAACTGGACTACGAGGAACAAGAATCATACAATATAACTGTTATAGCTTACGACCATGGGAATCCAAGCCAAAGCTCCAGTGTGAAACTATTGGTTAATGTCATAGACACCGAAGACATTGCTCCAGAATTTGAAAAATCAGTATACACACTAGAGGTCGCCGAAAGCTCGAAAGTTGGTAAAGTGATATTCAGACTGAATGCTGGTGAAAGAAAGTTTCGATACTTATTGTCAGGTAAGGACTGCTTTCGTACGAGTAGTTGTTAACACATTGTACAACTTTGAAAAATTAAATATTTATTTTTTTAGGATAATAATATGGCGTTCTAGTGTTTTTTGTTTTTTTATACGTTAAATACCAATAATGATTGTTTATTGTAGGGAAGATTCTAACATTTTGTAATGACTATTGGTTACATTAAACGGTTCACAAGGTGAGAAAAAGCCAAGCTTTTAAGACTACAAGCACACAGATAGATGAACTCTGACCGTGAACCTTGACCCCGACTTGAGTTATTTTAGGCAGTTTCACTTCTTTACAAAATAACTCATTATTTATATTAACAAACATAATATATCCCTATGTATGAGTACGTGTTAAAGCCAAGATGATTCAGTTAATGTATTATAGTAACAAACTCTACCCAAGAAAGATGTGCATTGATCGTATTTCAGACTTTTGAATGTTTATAAAATATCGGAATTCTTAGTTGTTATAAATATGTATAAAGGACTTGACGAGAAAGACTTAGAATTTATACAATATGTCTCATTAACTACAGGTGACCAACAGGTGACAGAGACTTTCGGTGTAGATGAGGTTACTGGAGAAGTTCGAATTTTGAAAGCACTGAAGAACAGCTTCCAAAGTCATTATCGACTTCACGTCGTGGCAGTGGACAACAGTGACCCTCCAAAATCGGATAAAACTCAGGTAATGCTAGGAGTTAAAGTAAGTTAATCCTTGTCGTTTTCTTGTGGCAACAAGTGGAGTATGGTGACACATTTCGAAAGGTACATAAGACCGGTTTCCTGTGGCAACAAGTGGAGAATGGTGACACATTTCGAAAGGTACATAAGACCGGTTTCCTGTGGCAACAAGTGGAGAATGGTGACACATTTCGAAAGGTACATAAGACCGGTTTCCTGTGGCAACAAGTGGAGTATGGTGACACATTTCGAAAGGTACATAAGACCGGTTTCTGTGGCAACAAGTGGAGTATGGTGACACATTTCGAAAGGTACATAAGACCGGTTTCCTGTGGCAACAAGTGGAGAATGGTGACACATTTCGAAAGATACATAAGACCGGTTTTATGTGGCAACAAGTGGAGAATGGTGACACATTTCGAAAGGTACATAAGACCGGTTTCCTGTGGCAACAAGTGGAGAATGGTGACGCATTTCGAAAGATACATAAGACCGGTTTCCCGTGGCAACAAGTGGAGAATAGTGACACGTTCTCCATGGATGAGATACCACTACATCGCATGTTAACCCCCATTTACCCATTGGTAGCCATTATACAGTTGGATAGACTGAAAAGAACTGTGATGAAGTGTCTCACCCAAGAACGCAATAAAATGTCCCGGGCAAGTCTCGAACCCGTAACATTTCAAGTACGAGTCCAATCCACTCGACCAAGCTCCCCCAAACTAAAAGTGTTCTTATTTAAGTTTGAGTTCCTGTCTGTTTGAAATGTAGATAGAATGTGGTATTATAAGCTGACTATATAATATAATCAAATCATAGACATCAAACTTAAAACACATTTTACAAATCTTAGCTTAAATAGGTCATTTTAAGTGGATTATATCTAGTTTCTGTGGAAGTAAAAAGTAGAATAAAAAACAGTAGTACAAAATTAATACCTTGATACTCCAAAAGAACTCAAAATTGATATATCTTTATAAGCCTACTTCAGATGCTTTATCTACTGAGAGCTATGTTATGACCTCTCTGTCAGTGTACAATGCCCATCAGTAACTAAATAGACACCCCCAAGAATACAAATGAACCATCTCCATGACGTCATATGCAAATAACTTCGGCGTGCAAATTCGGGTATAGCTCGGTAACTTTTCTTGCAGGTGGAAGTTTACCCCAATACCATTAAAAGGTGTCTTCATAACATTGGCTACAATGACAGAGTGGCTAGATGGAAGCCACTTCTCATTCCAGGCAATATTGTAAGTCAACAGCAGTGAACATCACAAATGCTATCACACCCTCTTGCCTTTGTTTTCCGACAAGTCCAGGCTTGCACCATCTTTCCAAGAGCTTTTGATGAACTGTATGGCAGTTATGGTGTTGGTGCAATTCGGACAACTGAACGATCACAGCTGTTGTTTCATACATCACAATTCTCGATCAAGGTCTTCTTCTTGTTCAAGCCAATCATGACTAGCTTATCATAGAATCACGCCAATAATGATTAGTCTACCATAGAAGCCAATACTTATTCAGCCCGAGTCACAACGTGAAGTCTAGAAAGTCGGTGTGTAACTTCCAGTTTCCGAATTCTGATTTGGATCTGGACCAAATTTGTGGAAAACTGTTCCATACTGACTTCCCATCTTATGTAAAAAAATTTCGTATACATCAGTCTGTTGGTTTTTAAGATATGCGCGCGGAAACACAGAGTGACAGACAGACACAAACGAACCCAATTGCTATACCCTCTCCTCCGGAAGTAAAACTTACTTTTGTAAATGTGAGGAGTTTATCTTGTACGGTAAACTCTAACGCAGTTGTACAAGATAAATAGACGGATTTCTAGAAACATTTCAAGAGTCCGATTCGTTAATCACTATTGAGACCCCAATAGCCTCCGCCTGGTACCACTTGTATTGCTATCAAATGTTTAGCAATTAATAGTTTTATTTCCAGTGCGTGCATCGTTCAGCTGCGTTCGTTGTCTACTTTCTCTTTATTATTATTAATTCATGTCTTTGGAACACTTGTTACTATTGAAAGGCAATCAAAAATTTGGATGAAAAAAAAACACGAAGGAATTTCACGTAAACTGCAGATATTTTTCTTCTTCTCATTTCCCTCGATTTGACCATTTCGGATTCAAAATCAAAGGAGGTGCGACTTAAGGGAAGTTAAAGATAGAACTTGAATGGTAATTTTGCACGCTTCTTAATTTACAGCCCGGATAGGCTGAATCACAGGATGCCGCTCAGCGGACCCTGGACAACCTACTGCGTATTATACCCTCCTTTGGGATGCAATTCGCT